GGCGGTTTTGGTGTACTTCGTTTTCCTTCCGCCATCCTTCACCTTTTCCTCTAGAGCCGCCTTCTCGTTCTCTTCTCCCCGCGAGGACCTGCGGCCGCCTCGGGGTGTTCGGGTGTCCTTCCGCCGCCCCGCAATGTGCATGCCTGCGGGCCCTCGCATACGCAGCCCCATTACCTTCCTCCTCCATATACCCCTTCATCTCGATATTTTCCAGCTGCCTCGATGCGTGCGAGAATTTGCGCGACGCAGCACGGACCCTGTGAAGCTGGACAGCGCCCCCCTCAAGCGCAAGACGGACGCAAAGGCGGGGGCGTCAAAGATGTTGTTCTGAAGGGGCGCGGTCACGCGCGCGAGCAGCGACGACAGAAACAACAACAACACAACCAACGACGACACTCGCCGCGACAACATCATCGACAACAACATCAGCAGCGGCATCGACGACAACAATTGCCACTTCCCTCGTAGACGCGGCTTCGTGCACCCCGATAAGGGCCTGCTGGCGGATGCCGCGGCCAACGCCTTCGGCCTCAACCAGGGCGAGGCCGTGCACATGCTTATCTGGACGATGGTCCAGGGGCACCTCAACCTCCAACCCCGACCCCCTCCTTCTTCTCTTCCTCATCCGCATCCCCCTCCTTCTCCTCCAAAGCTCCAGGAACGCAGGTCCCACGCCGACAGGGTGCTGTTCGACAATTAGAGTCGCACCGTGCTCAACGAGAACAGCTTGTTCGACTGGCTCTATGGCTTCGGCCATATGACCGGGCGCGTGACCAATGAGTAGGAGAAGTAGCGGGGCGGGGGCGATGAAAACGGACGGCGACGGCGACCGATTATTACTGCGGTTACCACTACTACCTACTACTACTACTACTACTACTACTACTACTACTACCACTACTGCTACTACTACTACTACTACTACTACTACTACTACTACGACCACTACTACTACTACTGCGACTACTATTACTATTACTACTACTACTACTACTACTACTACTACTACTACTACCACTATTACTACTACTACTACTACGACTACTACCACCGCTGCTGCTACCACTACTACTACTACTACTACTACTACTACGACTACTACTACTACTACTACTACTACTACGAATACTACTACTACTACTACTACTACTACTACTACTACTACTACTACTACTACCACTTCTACTATCAGTACAACTACGACTACCGCCACTACTACAACGATTAGTAATAATATGAATGGTTCCCATTCCTACTCCTACTGCCGCTACCATTACCGTCGCCGCTACTGCCACCGCTGCCGCTACTACTACTACTACTACTACCACTACGACTACTACTACTACTGCTACGATTACTATTGCTACGAGCGCTACTACTACTACTACTACTACTACTACTACTACTGCCGCTACGACTGCTAATACGTTCCACTACTACGACTACCGCCGCCGCTCCTCCTACTACTACTACTACTACTACTGCTACTACAACTACTACGACTCCTAGTGCTTCCATCATTTGTATTGCTACTGCCGCCGAACTGCCTACCTACCGACCGACCTACCTTTCCCGCTACTGCTATTACTACTACTACTACTACTACTACTACTACTACTACTACCACCACTACTATCTACTATCTACTACTATTACTACTACTACTACTACGACTACTACTACTACTACTACTACTACTACTACTACTACTACTACGGCTGCTCCTACTACTACTACTACTACCTCTGCTACTATGACTTCTATTACTTCTACTGCGACTACTACCACGACTACGGCTACTTGTACTATTACTACTACTACTACTGCTACTACTACTATCATTACTACTGCTACTGCTACTACTACAACTACTACTATTACTACTACTACGTCCACCACTACTACTACTACTACTACTACTACTGCTACTACTACCACTGCTGCCACTATTATCGTTGCTACTACTACTTTTATTATTATTACTACGAGCCCTCTTCCCTCGCCCCCGCAGCCCCCCCCCCAAAAAAAAAAACAAATGTTTCAATCCCGGGCAGCCGTGAGCTCTTACGCATGCGATGTAAACGAGCGGCTAACGAGCAATGGTCTTTATGCCGGCAAAAACGCACAATGTCTCGAATCCGATGTCTTTGGGGGAACTTGTCCTGGGGCCTCTCGAATCCCCGCTCCCCCCCCTCTATTATCTTCTCGTCCGCATCGCCTCCTTGTCTTGCGCGTGGCAGGGCTAGGTCGTCGACGCTGCGGCGGGCGTCGTCTTCGCGCGACGGCGACGACGGCGGCGGCCCCCCCCCCCCCGGCGCCCTGGCCTTTATTATCCCCCAGTTGATATTATCCGGGGCAGTTGGTTATCAAGATTTCGTCCGGCGCGGAGGCGCCAGATGCGCCGCGTCCGCCGCCTGCCGAGATTCCCGATGAAGGATCCCCCAGGTGGTCGTTATGGATCAATCTCAGCCTTGTAGATCCGCCGTGGTTCTGGAATCACGTCCGGGAGTAGGGCGCCCCTGCCTCTGGAGGTGTTTCAGCAGCTTCGCTTCCCCGAGAGGCGCCCGGGGCGTGCCCGAGTTTTTCCGGGCGCCCGCCAGGGGCCCGAGTTATGTCTGAGGCGGCGGAGAGGGGGGCGGCGACGATGGCGGGGTGGATGTCCTGGCGGGGGCCATGCTTTTTACCCCCAATTGTTGTTATCAGGGGCAGTTGGTTATCAAGATTTCGCCCGGCGTTGAGGGGCCAAATCTGCCATGTCCGCCGCCTGCCGAGATTCCCGAAGAAGGATCCCCCAGGTGGTCGTTATGGATCAATCTCAGCCTTGTAGATACGCCGCGGTTCTGGAATCACGTCAGGGAGTAGGATGTCCCTGCCTCGGGAGGTGTTTCAGCAGCTTCGCTTCCCCGAGAGGCGCCCGGAGTTTGCCCGGGTCTTTCCGGGCGCCCACCACGGGCCCGAGTTATGTCTGCGGTGGCGAAGAGGGGGGCGATGGCGATGGCGGGGTGGACACCCTGGCGGGAGCCGTGAAACCCCCTCAAGCTTCATGGCGCTATCCGACGAGGATCGCCGGCGGGGGTCAGTGCAGGGGCGCGCGGATCGACCCCCAGTCGCCCATTTTCATCGCCGACCGCGGGCCTGGTAGCCCGCCCCGCCCGGGCATATTCTGCCCCCCTCCTCGGGGGGCCCGCGGCCGACCTGTCGGCGGTGTGGCGCCGACTCGGGCCGCGCAGTGCGGGCGCGCTGCAAAAAACCAGCGGCTTTTCGTCAGGGTGTCCTGGGTCTCTTCGCTCCGCGCGCTGCGCGCGGCCGTTGGATCGGGGAAAGTAGGAGGGGTCCTACGCGTGCAAGGTCCCCTTGGAAAGTATTGAAACACGAGCGGTCGAGGGTCGCCGCGGGGCGGGCCGCGCGGCCGCCGCGCATGCGCGCGCGCCTCTGCCCCCCCCCCGCGCTGCCCCCCCCCCCCCCCCCCCCCCGCGCCCCATTGCCCCGCGTCCCCGGGGGGGGGCTCGCTCAAAAATACGGCGCGGCTCTTTCGAAGGGGTCTACCCGAAAGTATAACTTGGGGAAGTCGCGGGCGGATCGTACTTTCGAGCGCATTTCTCCAAAGCACACTCGGGAAACTGCACTTTCGAATGGGGGGGCGCTCACAAGCCGAACCGGGGGCCGATGGCCTGGGCCCGCGGACGCGTCGGGCGCGGGCGTCGCCGCGCGACCATTCCGGTGAGCCCACGGGCGACGCGCCCAACAGTACACCCAAAGTGCATTCACAGGGCCCATAAGACAATTAGACCTTTTCTACTTTCCCTTAGCTCTTGCGCGTGCGCGGCGCTGGGCTTGCGATTCGGATCTTCTTTCCCATGTGGATCCGCCGCGTCGGCAGGGCGCGGGCGATCTGCATCGCCCTTCGCATTCCCAGCGGGGGCGCGTTTTAAAATCTGATTCTGCGTTCGCGTTTCCAGCGCATTATCGCGACAAAGGAAGCCGTCGGTGAGACCCCGACAAAAAGCGAGGGCCGTCTTGGGGTGGTGCCCAGGGCCTGACGATGCCAGCCTTGCCGAGTCCTAGCTCCCAGAGATTCCTTCATTCGTTGGCGACGCTCTTCGGGGCGTCGCTCGGCGACGCAGGTGAATCTCTTGGGCGTGGGCTTGGGCGATGCCGCCGCCGTCTCTATATGCCAGCGCATGATGAGAGTTGAGATGCGTTCGGGGCAGACTACGCGCGTGGAGATAAGCACCGGTAAGGTCTGCTATGCCCTGCTGGGCCCTGCGAGCCCCATGCCAAGCACTGCTGAGCTCCGCTATGCCCTTCTAAGCCGTGCTAGCCGCTGCTAAACCGTGCTAGCCTCTGCAAAGCATCGATAAACATTGGTGAGCACTGGTGAGCGTGGCAATGCTCTGGCATGGCCTGCAAGCCCCTGCTGAGGTCTGCTGGGGGGGGGGGGGGGGCGCGGGGAGAGGGGGGGGGTCAGACGCCGCGAGGCGATTGCACAGCACGAGAACTCGCGTTTGGGATGCGCAGCGCCTGGGGGAGAGTGACGCCGCGGAATTTGCGCTCCAGCCCCCCTTCCCTCATGTCCGTGGGCACAGGGCTCAATGTGCCCCCTGGGTGCCTGGAACGGAGGACAAGGGAAGAAAGGGGCAGGTAGCCCATATCGAATGCAGGTCTGTCCCAGCCGCTTTGGCCCCGGCGCAGCTACCCTGGCCCGCGCCGCGCGCGCGCGCCGCGCCGCCCCTCGCGCCCCCTTCGGCTCCAGGATGGCACCGAAAGGAAAGGCCGAGGCGAAGGCCAAGGCGGAGGCGAAGGCGAAGGCGCGGGCCGAAGCGAAGGCGAAGGCCGCGGCGCGCGCCGATAGGGGGAGGAGGCAGTCGCAGAAGAGGGTGGCGCGCCGCGAGGCAGTTCGCGAACTGAACGCTCTGGCGTTGGAAGTGGGGGTGGCGACGCAGCCAGCGAAGTCAGCGAAGCGGAAAAAAGGTGGAGCGGCTCATCGCGCCCCTCGAGAGAAGCTGCCAGGAGCCCGGCCGCCAGGCTGCCTTGCGCGCGGGGCAGAGAAGTGGGCGAACAACGGGGGGGTGCTGAGCAATGGGTTGACGCCTGCGCCAGATGCGGGGCCCGAAGGGAGCGCGGTGTCGGCCATCCCCTACCAGAAGGTGCTCGTCATGGGGTTCCGGGTGCAGACTCACGCATGCATGATCACGTTCAACAATGCGGAGTTCGCCCCGGATACGTGGACCCTCTTCAAGGAGTGGTGCGGTGCGACGGCCAAGCGCCTCGGGGCCCGCGCATGGTCGGGGCGCCTGGAGCAGCCCCTTCACGCCGCCACGGGCGCGCCAAGGTACCACCTCCAAGCGTACTTGTACTGGAAGGGCGGCGACGGCTTGCGCCTGCAGAACACGGACGACCTCGCGTTCCAGGACACGAAGCCACGTGTGGACGTGCGCACGCGGACGAACCCGGGCCGGATGAGGAACGCAGCCATGCAGGGCTTGTATTACGTGTACCTCACCACGCTCGGCGCCCTCCATGCGGCGGCGAACTATTTCCTTTTTCCAGGGCTACGTTTCGAAGCCAGAGTGGCTGGACGGGTGGCGGGCGGCCCAGAAGCTGTGCCATGACCAGTGCCGCGAGTTGTCGCTGCTGTTCCAGAGTTACCAGAAGAGGAAGAGGGACGTGGAGGAGGTCGCGCAGGCCGAGAGGGAGGGGTTCCTGCAGAAGCACCTGACGGTGGAGCTGGCCGAGCTGGAGCGAGCGGATCCAGCGCGGCCCGCGCGGCAGTTCCCAGAGACGGCGGAGTTCGTGCAGCTCTTCTCGAAGCCGATGCGGCGCCGGCCCATCCTCGTTATCCTCGGAGGGGCGAACCTCGGCAAGAGCATCCTGGCCAGCTCCGTTCCCGAGGACGTCGCGAAGATGCTGCACTTCTGGGCTTCGTGGAAGTCACTGTCGAGGAGGATTCGAATCTCGACCTGGCGGAGTTCGATTTGGCGAAGCACTCCGGGGTCCTCCTTGACGGTGCGGGGGGCGCCATGGTGCTCAAGAGACACCGGGAGGCCGTGCAGGGCCGTCCCAAGATGAGTCGCGGGGGCAGGTCCGCCACCATGATGTACTCGTATCCGTTCACGCTCTGCAGACGGGAAGTGGTGGCGACGATGGACCTCAGCGCCAAAAACCCTAACAAGTTCCGCACAGACCACTGGCTGTCGAACCCAAGAACGTCGTCCTCCTCCGGCTGAACGCCCCCGCGTGGGCTGAGGCAGCCGACGCCTCCGACGCGCCCGAGGAGTGCATGGCGGGGTGGACAGTGGAGGAGGTCGGCGGGTGGCTGGAGAGCGAGGACATGGTCGGGCCCGCGGTTGCCCTCCGGGCGCCAGGGGCATCCGTCGCCGACCTGATGGCTTTCGAATTCGCTGAGCAGGTGAAGAGGGATCTCGCCATGGCGATGTTTGTGGCGACGAAAGTGCTGAGGCTCCGGGACGCCCGCGCGCGCTCGTGACGCACGCGGGCCGCGCGCGGTCACGCGCGCCCCCGCGGTGGCGGCGAGGGCAAGTGTGCAGTGTGGTCATTTTGCATACCGTGTGTCTCGGTGCCGGCAAGTGTAGAAACGAAGCGGACGGCGGCGACGGCGGCGCGGACGGTGGCGACGGCAGCGACGGTTGCGGCGGCTGTGTGCGCCCGGTCCTTTCTGGGGGCGCTTTGAAGGGGGCTCCAGGGGGGGCCCCAGGGGTGGTTCCGGGGGGGCCCCGGGGGGGCCCCGGGGGGCTCCACGCCCGACAAGCATCAAAAACGCATGGAATTGCATGGATTTTGGGGGGCTCCTGTCGGGTGAGCAGCCTCCCTTTATAATGCCAATTAGGGGTTGTGCACGCCCCCCGCGCTCCGTTCTCGGCCTTCCTTGAACTCCACCGGCGCCGCCCCGTCTTCCAGAGCTTCGCCCCGGCTCGCCCCCGGCTTCTAGAATTTTACGGGCGCCCTTGTCTTCTAGAATTCTAGGGGCGCCCTGGTCGCTCGTCGGTCGTTGGTCGTCAAAGTCGTCGGTCGTCGGTTGTTTCGTCGGCGGGCGTCTGTGGGTTGGTCGTCGGTCGTCGGTCTTCGGTCGTCGGTCGTCGGTCGACCGGTCGGTTGGTCGTAGGTCGGTCGGTCGTCGATCACGCGTCGTCGGTCGTCGGTCGTCGTCGGTCGTCGGTCGTCGGCCGTCGGATTCGGTCGTCGGTCGTCGGTCGTCTGCCCTCGGTCCTCGGTCCTCGGTCCTCGGTCGTCGGTCGTCGGTCGGTCGGTCGTCGTTCGTCGGTCGTCGGTCGGCGGTCGTCGGTCGTCCGTCTTCCGTCGTATGTCGTCGGTCGTCGTCGCTCGGTCGTCGGTCGTCGGTCGTCGGTGGTCGGTCGTCGTCTGTCGGTTGTTACGCGTTCGGCGGTCGTCACTCGTCGATCGGTCGGTCGGTCGGTCGGTTGTCGGTCGGTTGTCGGTCGTCGGTCGTCGTTCGTCGGTCGGTCGTCGGTCGTCCGTCGTCCGTCGTATGTCGTCGGTCGTCGGTTGTCCTCGCTCGGTCGTCGGTCGTCGGTTGTCGGTTGTCGGTCGTCCGTCGTCGTTCGTCGGTCGGTCAGTTGGTCGTCGGTCGCTCGGCCGTCGGTCGTCAGTCGTCGGTCGATCGGTCGATGGAACTCCGGCCAAGAATGCTGCTCTAACGCGCCGAGAGGGTTGACCTACCTGCGCAGCTCTTCGGGAAAAAGTAGGAGGGGGTCCTATGCGTGCATGGGCCCTTTGGAAAGTATTCAAACACGAGCGGACGAGGGTCGCCGCGGGGCGGGCCGGGTGGCCGCCGCGCACGCGCGCGCGTCTCTGCCCCCCCTCGCGTTCGCCCCCCCCCCGCGCCCCATTTCCCCGCGTCCCCGGGGGGGGGGGGGGCTCGCTCAAAAATACGGCGCGGCTCTTTCGAAGGGGTCGACCCGAAAGTATAATTGGGGGAGTCGCGGGCGGATCGTACTTTTTAGCGCATTTCTCCAAAGCACATTCGGGAAATTGTACTTTCGAATGGGGGGGGCTCAAAAGCAGAGACTCGCTCGGTCGTCGGTCGTCGGTTGTCGGTTGTCTTTCGTCCGTCGTCGTTCGTCGGTCGGTCAGTTGGTCGTCGGTCGTCGGCCGTCGGTCGTCGGTCGTCGGTCGATCGGTCGATGGAACTCCGGCCAAGAATGCTGCTCTTACGCGCCGAGAGGGTTGACCTACCTGCACAACACTTCGGGAAAAGTAGAAAGGGTCCTATGCGTGCATGGGTCCTTTGGAAAGTATTGGAACACGAGCGGACGAGGGTCGCCGCGGGGCGGGCCGGGCGGCCGCCGCGCATGCGCGCGCGTCTCTGCCCCCCCCGCGTTCGCTCCCCCCCCGCGCCCCATTTCCCCGCGTCCCCGGGGGGGGAGGGGGCTCGCTCAAAAGTACGGCGCTGCTTTTGCGAAGGGGTCTACCCGAAACTATAATTGGGGGAAATCACGGGCGGATCGTACTTTTTAGCGCATTTCTCCAAAGCACATTCGGGAAATTGTGTTTCCGAATGGGGGGGGGGGGGGCTCAAAAGCAGAACCGGGGGCCGATGGCCCGGGCCCACGGACGCGTCGGGCGCGGGCGTCGCGGCGCGGCCATTCCGGCGAGCCCACGGGCGATGCGCCCAAAAGAACTCCCAAAATCACATTCAGGGCTCATAAGACCATAGGACCCTTTCTACTTTCCCTTATTGGAGGCGCTGCGGCGTCCAGAGTGTTCCAGGTTTCCCTTCTGGTGCACTGCGCGCGTGGGTTTTCAGGGTCGGGTTTCTTGCGAGGTTTTCTTGCGGCCGCGCTCGCACTGTACTCGGCGACTAGCCCCTCGGGGGGCGGGGGTTCGAAGGGGCGGGCCTTTTTAGAATGCTCGGAAGTCCCCCCAGCCTGCCGAGACAGGAGTCTCGGAAGTTCCCCTCTCTTCCGAGGAGCTCTCTCTCTGAGCCTGCCTCGGAGACACGGAGGAAAACCTTCCTCAGAAGGCCGGAGGCCCTCCGAGGAACCCCGTTGCCTCCAAGGAAGGCCTTCTCCTCCTTTGCTCTCGCTCGCCGCCGATCGTCGTCTCCAAGGTGACTAACAAACAACACACACACCCATACCCATACCCGTTGGGAGGAGGACTCGCTAAGGGTATGGGTGCGGGTTGTCGGACCCTGGGGAGAACTCCCGTTCGAGCGGGGACCCCCATCCGACAACACGTACCCATTGCCCTCTCCGGCCCCTTTCTGGGTATGGGTGTGTCTTGTTGGTTCGTCACAAGGCGCCTGAGCGCCTCCCGCCCTCGCCCCGCGCGCCGTTGCCCCTCGCCCACGGCGCGCGCGGCGCCCGCGAAGAGTGGCTCGAAGGCGCTCCTGGGAGGAGCGGCCGCCCTGCCCTCGGCAAAGGGCGCGTGGTCGCGCGAGCGGCAGAACCGGCGTCAACCCTCATGCGCCAACACTGGGCACGAGGAGGAGGAGGAAGAAGAGGAGGAGGTGGTGTAGCTTGAGGAGGAGGTGGAGGCGGTGGAGGAGGAGGAGGAGGCGGAGGACGAGGAGGAGGAGGAAGAGGAGGAGGTGGTGGAGGTGAGGAGGAGGAGGAGCGGGCGGGCGGGCGGCGGGCGGGCGGGCGGGCCAGACCCAGAGGTTGGCACCAACAATGTCGGCGGTGTGCCTCCACCGAGGGCAGATGATCCGGATTTCGATGGTGGTGGTAATGTTCGTGCTGCCTGCATAGGCGAAGTATGACCACTCACGCCCAAAATCTGGGAGCATCTTCCCCTGGGGGAGGCAACCCCCTGCGTTGGTGATGGTGCTCATTTTCAGGCCTCCAACATGTACCATCGCTTGGACGTGTTCCTTTTTCTCGGTAAGGCCAGCGCCAGAAAATCGACACCATCTAGGAGCATGTTACATCACCTAGCGGGAACAAAAAAGCACGGACCCGTGCACTTTTCGGGGAATTTGGCGTCTGAGCGATGGCAAGCCAAGAACACATATGTTCCGACCGCCTGCCAGCTCTGAAGGACCGCTGTGCTTTTCCGCGGTCGTGAGGACAAGGCGGGTCCTGGTAGGACTGCGACAGGTTGGTGTACCACAACACGTTAAACATTATGATACTGAACGCTTGACGGATGGCATGGCGCTCTCGCTTGAGACCTCTTCACAAGTTATTCATCGTTTTCTCGCCGCTCTGGAACCGTGTTTTCGTTCGGGACTTCTTCATAAGTTACTCATGGGCCGCGATCTCGAGTGAGAGGTCTGTGCCACTCCCTCTTGCTAAGCCTTGTGTTAATCGCTATCGTTTTCCCTCCTTCTTCCCCTTCCTCCTCCGTTCATTCTCCCACTCCCTTACTCGCTCTTTCCATCTTCCATGATTTCGACTCTTCCCGTGGTAGGGTCTGCGCCAAGTACACGTGGCAGGGAAGGACGATTTTCCCAAAGGGGTATCGATCAGAGGCGAAAAGGACGGGTATCGAGGGTTTGGGATACATTTGTGGATTGGCACACGAGAAGCAGACGCACATTGATCGTTGTTGTTGTTGCTGATGTTGTAGCCGGGCCTTCCACAACTCTCACGCACAGAGTTCGGTTGAAGCTCGCGCTTGAGCGTGACCTTCGCTTTCGAGGGAAACGACGCCCACTCGAAAGCGAGAGAGTTTTTCCAATCTGCCTTGGATCAGCAATAAGTGCCTTCTAGGCAGCGAGCTCCAGCCGCACCGCGGGAGTCCTCCTCCTTCTCTTTTTCTTACACCAGTTGTGCAAGGTGGCATCGCTCGGACGTGTGCTCCGTCTATCGGCAAGGACCATCGAGGATGATAGTTGTCCACCTTGCGATCAAATTCAAGGGAGGGAAAACCACACGGACACAAAACATGGCGTTCACTAGGCGGCCTTGGGCATTTACTGAACAGCCCTGCCCTATTCGATTCCTTCCGCGGGTGCGTTTGCTAAAAGGTTTCGCGTGTCGGGGTGATTATTGTTGGGGGGTGGGCGTTCTGCATTCTAAACATGTAACAAAACCGAAACGTACACATAAAATGGACGTCCGAGCGATGGCGAGGATCGCACGCACGAAACCGACAAATGCACATGGAATGAGCGTCCAAGCGATGGCGGGGCAAGAGCAGGTTGTAGAGGTGAACGGGGATGCAGGCGGGGCGCGCGACGAAGAGGAGAGGAGAGGGGCCCCTTGCCCGTAAGGGAGGAGAGGTGCCGAAAAGGAAGCAGGAT